CGGGGTGGTACTGAGACGGAACCGGGGCCCGGCAGGCGGGCTCTGGGGGGCGGGCGAACTCAGGGGCCCGAGCATGAAAACCAAAGCAATGCTTTTTGCTCCCAAATCAGCGTCCTCTTGCCTCTCCATTGAGACCCTCGATGGCGTGTCTGTTGAGTTTGTTGATAACTACAAATATCTTGGCTTTTGGTTGGACAGTAATCTGAATTTCAAACACCATATTGAAGTTTCTAACAAAGAAATTGAAATTCACTCTTGGCTTCCTTTACAGACTTAAATGTTGTTTTTCGAATTCGTCCCGTAAAAGGTTGGTCTCTGGCTTATTCCTGTCCCAGCTGGACTATGGTGATACCATTTATAGATTTGCCTGTCCCACTGTCTTGGCCAAACTTGACCCACTCTACCATGCTGCACTGCGTTATATATCAAATGCACCCTATAGGACTCATCATTGCACACTGTATAGCCTAACTGGATGGTCCTCACTCACTATGCGTAGGATGCAGCATTGGTTTTTATTCATGTATAAAGCCATTTTAGGAAAGCTTCCACTCTACATATGTGCCAGATTTGCTCCAGTTTGTGACTCTTACAACCTCAGACCCAGTGCCTGGATACGGTTCCAGGTTCCTGCTGTGCGGACTGAGGCTGGAAAAAGGAGTCTTTTTCATTATGGTCCTTGGTCTTGGAATGACCTTCAATCAAGCCTCAAACTGACGGCACTTGTCCCTATAGCCTGTTTTAAATTGAAGTTGTCTGAGGTCCTTACCACCAGCTGCTCTTGCAGTAATAAGCAGTACCTTTCTTACTGTCCCAAATGCGCACAATGTAGTGACTGCTTTTTGTTTTTTGTTTACTTAGTTGTGTTCTCTGTATTTGATATGTCTGTGTTATGTGTTATGTGTAACGTTGCTGCCTTCTTGGCCAGGTCAGCATTGTAAATGAGATTGTATCTCAATGCTTTTTATCTGGTTGAATAAAGATTAAATACATTAAAAAAAATTGTAGGTTTGCATTATGTTCCCCTTTATTAAAGTGTGTCTTAAATAGAGACATTTTCCTTTCTTTCTTCTCCGAATGGTCTCATTTTCAAAATGAATATGTCATTCTATGGTAAATGGACCCCTCGACCCCCCATTACCAGCCCTCAAACAGTTTTTTAACATTCACGAGTCAGCAGTAACACACATTCATAGAGGCCTGTGATGGTGGGCCACTCACCCAGAGGCATGCCGATGCCGTATCCCTTGGTGTCCAGCAGGCCTCCGATCTGGGTCAGGTTGCAGTTCAGGCTGCGGTAGTACTCGTTCATGGTGCTCTCCATCAAGAAGGCGTACTTGGAGTTGATGACGCGGGCGATGCCCTCCTCGGTGCTTTTCACGAACACGCTGGGCTGCTTGGAGTACATGTAGTTCCACATGCGCTGGTACGTCTGGTACCGAGAGTTCTGTAGGAACACAGCAGGGGTTTTATACCTCACAGTTTACACAATGACTTCAAGTGTTTGAGTCCAGTGTTCGTGGACCAAGAGTCATTATATTTTGGTCTTTGTCCAAATGTTTTCTCTTCATTTATTCAGATTTTTTAAATACAGTCTTAGTCCTTTTTCTAATGTAAGTTTTTAGTTATCCGATTATACTGAACTTTGCAGAGGAAAACAAATCATTTTGTAATGTTAGTCAAACTATTTCACCGAGGATTAGAATAAAGTTTCTATTTAGTTTTAGACTCTAAAAATGTTATAACAGACAAAATTCAAATGAGATGAGGAAATCTTGCACATTACAATTGTTCTACCTTAAATTACATTAATTTGTGTCAGGACTTTATTCGGAAAAACATCCTCATTGGTAATAATATTTTTTGTATCATATATTGATGAGCAGCTCATTTAAAAATATACAACATCAACATACACAGCCACTAAGGGGACATGGACAAACAGTAGAACACATTTTTCAGGCGCGTATGAGAAAGTGAGCGGTGCACGCAGGGGACCACCAGTTAATGCAGAATATTATGTTTATGTGTGGAAATGAGAAGCCATGAATACATTGAGTTATATTTCAAACTAGAACTTCAATTTAAGAACATTTTGGCCAGAGGTGCAGAGCTATTACGAGCCGGTGTGCGACGAGAAGGTTTTTTTTAGGGGCTCTGTATAATGAATAGAACACACACAACCTGTAATGTTAGCCAAACAATAACAAGTGAACATTCTTTTTTGAAGTAATTCAAATTAATAACAGAAAAAAGAAGAATACAAAGTTGAATGGCTGACTGTATTAAAGCTGACCATCTTTGTCTTGAAACGTGTCTGATTTCAACTCTGTTGATCGCTGTGATTGATGTTATAACCAACTGCATTGTGTTGGGGGGTGGGCTTCAACCAGAACACTTTTATCTTTTTTTTTGCCATTAAAAGCTGAACTCTCAGTAATGAAATCCTTTTGAATGACTTTCTGTGATATTGTTGGACAGAATACCAAGAGTATAACATGCTGGGTCCAACGTGAAGGTCCAACACCTCTACAGTCCCTCCCATACGTGCCAACCCTCCCGATTTTCACGGAAGACTCCCGATTTCATTGCCCTCTCCCGGTTTCCTCCCAGGGTCATATTTCTCCTGCATTTCTCACGATTTCTGACTAAATCAGATTTACTCACGACTCGTGAGTAAATCTGATTTGTGAGTCACGACCTGTTTACACTCGGACTTCAATACATCTACACCATTGCTTGGTTTCCATGGTAGCGCCTCTCTGAGAGTCTGAGAGGGTGTTCAGCATGGTGAGGAAGATAGTCACGGAAAACAGAACAAGAATGGACAACTCTCCCCTCTGCTTACTCCTTTCCTGTAAATTAAACTATACAGGACCAGCCCACACATACGCTCCATTAAGGATGGTGCAACAGGCAGAAAGGCACTACATTTCCAACTACAAGAAGCATGTGTAGATGTTCTTTTCATCTTTAAAGGTCAGTAGGATCAGGGCCGCCCCTCCCTACACGCAGATCACGCAGACTGCGTGGGGCCTCACCTTGCTGAGGGGGCCTCGCCTTGTTGAGGGGGCCTCGCCTTGTTGAGGCCTTGTTGAGGGGGCCTCGCCTTGCTGAGGGGGCCTCGCCTTGCTGATGGGGCCTCGTCTTGCTGAGGGGGCCTCGCCTTGCTGAGGGGGCCTCACCTTGCTGAGGGAGCCTCGCCTTGCTGGGGGGGCCTTATCTTGCTGAGGGGGCCTCGCCTTGCTGAGGGGGCCTCATCTTGCTGAGCGGGCCTCGCCTTGCTGAGGGAGCCTCGCCTTGCTGGGGGGGCCTCGCCTTGCTGAGGGGGCTTCACCTTGCTGAGGGAGCCTCGCCTTGCTGGGGGGGCCTCATCTTGCTGAGGGGGCCTCGCCTTGCTGAGGGGGCCTCACCTTGCTGAGGGGGCCTCACCTTGCTGAGGGGGCCTTATCTTGCTGGGGGGGCCTTATCTTGCAGACGATCTATGCGCGAACCCTCCGCAGTTTCAGTTTCCCCGCTGCGAGGCTCCGGCAACCACTACAACCCCCTCCATCTCCCTCCATCTCCCCCCATCTCTCTCCATCTCTCTCCATCTCCCTCCATCTCCCTCCATCTCCCTCCCCCTCCATCTCCCCCCATCTCCCTCCATCTCCCTCCCCC